GCTTACTATCTAACCAGACAGACAAGATCCTCCTTCTGCCAAGTGGGAAATGCAGTCACCTTTCCTGGATCCCTCTTATCCAGAAATTCAAGGCCACTGACTCTTTACTAAACAACTCTTGGCAAACTCATCTAAACAGACCAGCAACTGCTGGCTCACCTGCTTTTACCAAAATTAGCAGAAGCTATGGAACCATGAAATTGTGTAAAAACTGCAGTGCAGTTCATAAATTCAACAATGCAAACAACTGGATGTTAATCATTGTCTTGGAGAAAATTCACAGCTGTATTTAACATATTAATGCAACACATGGATGTGCTACCAAGGAGCTATATCCTCAAACACACTGTTACAAAGACTCAGACCAGACCTGCGTTCCCTACTATTTACTGTTCAAGTCTTAACAAAGGACGTGTATTCGAGAGTCCAGGACTCCACTCCCGGTGTTCCCAAGGGGTTTATCTCAGAAAGAATGCTATTAACATTTAATTGCCTTGCAAGTCCAGTGACAGAAACACCACATGAAGTTAAATGTTACTGTAGCAACTTGTTTTATTAAATATTAAAATAAGGAAGTCACTGGATTTTTCAACATAATTTTTCTGTTCCTAGTATTTATTTCTCACCTACTCTGTGAAGCATCTAGGCTTGCTATGGAATACTTAGCCTGACATAAGTAACAGGAAAAGGAAGAAAGTCCTTGGATATTAGAATGTGACCTCAATTTCAGGTCCATATTTACAAGCTAAGATTATTTACCGTTTTCCCACTCAGAGAGAAATAATTACAATGCTGACCCCAGCTAAAGCCTCTGCTTCTGATATCACTGCATTTATCTAATTGTAGCTAGCAAAAGGCATTCATACAAATTCAGTACTAGATGCTAAATGGACACAGTGTTCTGTCAGTAACATGGAAAACATAGCTTTCAAGTCTTCTCTGAAAGAGCAATACGACCTTTGTCCAATTCTTGTATACTAGACTATCTGGAAATAACTGGGCTGCCTGTAATGAGAGCAACTGTCCAACACAATATCAAATAACATTGTGCATCTGGAATGTCTTCTGTCCCAAAATTGGAAGGTGCTGTTACAGGATCTCGCAAGCTATTCACTGGCGGATTCACACAACAGACACCAACCCTGGAAAAATGACAATCGGCATAAAAAAAAATCCCCATCTGCAATGCACCCTGATACAAGTGGCTCAGTGCCTCTTAAAGGAAGGGCTGTTTCATCCACACGCCCTGAGAGTGGCAAACAACGCAGGCCATCTCAGGGTTACTTC